TTTGAATTTTGATCCTCAGATTTCAGCCTCCTGAGTAGCTAGGATTATAACTGTGAGCCACTGGTACGTGGTTGAGACATGCTTTTTTTTTTTTAGTTTTTGAGACAGGAGCTCATTGCAGGCCTTGAACTTGTGATTCTCCTGCCTAAACCTCCTAAGTGCTAGGAGAGTGCTGAGATTACAGGCATGTGCCACCATGCTTAACTTTCAACTGTCTTTCAGAGTGGGATATGGAATAGGATGGGTTTCTAGGAGTTTTCAAGAGAGGCTGCCTGGTGATCAGGAGCCAGAGACCTCTACCCAGTGTGTGTTAGCCTGTGTGTGCACAACCCTCTAGTATTAAATCTACTGTGTATTTGTTCATTGTGGCGTAGGGATGGAGCCCAGGCCTTGTGTGTGCTAAGCAAGTGCTCTACCATTGAGTTGCATCCTTACCACTTGGGGGAATTTTTTAAAATTTGGTTTGGTTTGGTTTGGTTCGGTTTAATTTTTCGGGTTTTTTGTTTTGTTTTGTTTTTGAGGCAGGGTCTCTGCATAGTTCAGGCTTGAACTCAGAATCCGCCTGCCTCATGGTGTGTGTCACCATGCCCAGTTCTGTCACTTAATACCAGAAGGAAGAAAATAAGATTCAGAGAATCAAAAAGACTACCAAAAGCAGAACCAGGACATGACTGAGATAAGAACCCATCACCTGATGCAGTCTGTATGACAAGGCCTGTTTCAGAGAAGGGAAAACTGAGACCAGGAATATTGGGTTGCATGTCCTTGTGAGCTCCACATTTGTCAAGCATATTAAATTGCAGCAACATCAAATGTAAATTATATATAACCAGATAAAAGCCAAATTGCAGTTGACTCACTGACACCATGTTCTGTGTTGCAGACATTTAATTAGACATTTATTTAATTTTGATTTTGCAATTTTTTTCCTTGTGTTTTACAGCCAGGTCCCACATGCTTCAAACATTATCCTAGGCCCATGAACATCTTGCAGGACCGTGGCAGTGAGCAATTGGTGCCAGCTGAAAGAACAGCCACAATTTTGATCCTTTAGGCAAAAGGGGAGCTGCAAGTCCAAAACCCAGGTTGTGGCATGGTCTCCGTGCTCCCCATGATCCCATGCTCCCTCAATGATGGGTGCAGAGACCTCCTTTTTGCTCCTCCCTGTTGCTGCCCCGGCCCACAACAGCCCAGGGCTGTGAGTCCTTTGTCTGTGGTTAGCTGGGAGCTGGCAGAGGAGAGGGCAGGAGTGGGCGGGGAGGTGGCAGGTGGCCTGTCAGGTGGTGATGGATGCTGGCTGGGGCGGGGCCTCTCTCATGCTGACCCGGGTCCGGAAACAGATGGTCTTCCAGCCTGAGAGAAACTTCCAAGGTGTGCCCTCCCCCAACTCCCCAGGTCCCTTCGTGTTGGACCAGCTGGTCTCTCCTTTCAGTTCAAAGCCAGAGCTGCAGGAATGGGCTGGGATGGGGGGAGAATGGGGAGGATGGAAGCTAGGAAAGATGGCCCTGCAGAAGCCCAGGGGCCATCCTAGAGCCCCCACCAGTGGCCACCTTCAGGTCTGCTTTCTGCCCGTCTTATGTTTCCTGTCTTAGCTCAGCTCTGTCACCGCAGGCCTGGACCAAACCCCAGCTTCTCCTGGCTTCTCTCCAAGCCAGCTTCTGAAATGAGCTTTCAGAGCTTCAGAGTTGATCGTATCACCTCCGATTCTGGGATGGAATTCAGATTTACAATAAAACCTGAACTCTCCAGTCCAGAGTGTTTGTTTTGTTTTGGTTGTGCTGTGGGGCCTTTCACAGACTAAGCATGTATTCTACCACTAGCTACACCTCCAAGCCTCCAGGCCAGAATTTGAGGCCAGTTCTGGTTTTCCTATGCCTCTTCCTATTTAGGCTGCCAGACCTCTGAGCCCCCCAGATGGCCACACATTCTCTTGCTGTTGTACTTTTTTTGTGGGGGTGCTGATATGGGGGCATGAACTCAGGGCCTGGGCACTGTTCTTGAACTTTTATACTCCAGGCTGAGGCTCTACAACTTGAACCACAGCTTCATTTCTGGCTTTTTGTTGGTTAGTTGGAGATAAGAGTCTCATAGACTTTCCTGCCCAGGCTGGTCTCAAACCGTGGTCCTTAGATCTCAGCCTCCTGAGTAGCTGGGATTAGTGGTATGAGCTGCTGACACTGGGCTCTTGCCATGTACTTCCCATCAGCAGCTCTTTTCATCAGATACCAATCCCTGCTTAAAACCCAAGACCAAACCCTCCTTCCCATGGGAAGTCTCCCCTGACTGTCTCCCCAAGACAGAGGTGACACATCTCTTCTCTGTGTTCCAAAGAATTTTTTAGCATCCATGTCATCTCCTACCTGTCTCCCCACCCTCCATGGGACTATGAGGCACACCCAGGGGCACAAACGTGGTAAAGAGTAAGTGATCAACGTACAGTTGCTATGTGAGTGAATACATCTGCTTCAGGGACTCTTATGATGGGGGAGAGGCAGGGACCCAGAGAATGGAAGATACAGGGAGGTAATCCAGCTCATCAGAAGAAACACAGTCCAGCCTGGAGCTGCTCAGAAGCACAGGTCTCTACATTGGGAGGTTTGGGAGTGGGTAGAAATGCTCAGATTAGAAGTAGCTGAAAGGACAGCAGTGTTGGAAGAGGAGTTGGGCTGAGGGGCCTTTGCATGTCCCAAGTCAACCATGAGGGACCTCCCCTTCTCCATCTTGGCTACCTGTCCTGGAAGGTGGCTAATTGAGGGTATGTGTACATCATTATTTGGTGACTAGAAGACCCAGGGATGGAGAGGAGGGCCCTAAATGGATGCTTCTAGCTAGATGAGGGTAGATGGGTGTATGAGAGAGGAGCAGTGGCAGAATCTATGTCCTGGAACTCTAGATCTGAAAGGATTCCAGAGCCATCAAGCCCATCCCTCTCATTGGCAGAGAGAGCTACACAACCACCTAAGAGCAGGATGCCCATTTGAGGAAACTGGGTATCAGCCCTCCCATAGACTGCAGTTCTGCCCTTGGGCTGGTGGCACTCACAGTTGTCACTTCCCCCCTAGTTTCCAAACCACTCCCTAGAAATGCCACCTTGTTCCATCTGGGAATAGAATAGACAGATTCCTGATTCTCCAGTTTCCAATCCACATAGTAGGGTCATTGGATCTGAGTTGGGATTTCTCTTCTCTAGTTTCAGGGGGGAACTTTTAGAGGACCCTTCCATGGTCTCAGCAAAGGGTCTGCCTGCCTCATGAATCAAAAATTTAGGGGCTGGTAAAGGGGTAGGATCTGTGGTCATCAGACCCAAGTGGAGCTTCTTATTTAGAGAGGGGAAATTGGGCCCAGAGATCTGTGTTGGCAGGTCCACTCTCATCCACCTCGACAGAGTGCAAAATAGTTTCTCTTCCTACTCATCTTCCCAGTTCCTTTGGGCTCCTAGAGCTCAAGGGGCTCTTGTCCAAGATCTCAGGGGAAATGAGTAGAGTCAGGACTTGAACTCAGGACTGGAGAGGGTAGGAAGGGTTTCCTACCCACAACAGGATTACCAGAGTTCTATTCAACTCAACACACTTGCAGCCATTCCACATGAATGGCTGAGCACCTCCTGTGTGCTGAGAGCTGAGGGTACTGCCATGATTGGGTGAGGACAATAGCGGGGAGAGGGAGGCTGGTGGAGGTTCCTGCTGTAGGTGGGGGAGGGCCAGCAGAAGCTGTGCCTAAAAATCTAGGCTTTGAAAGAAAAGACTTACCCAGGTTTGGGGATAGGCTGGGGTTAGGGGACAGGAAAGGGGTAACAGTGGGTGCAGTGTGGGAAAGTATTGAGAGCCCTGAATCTACCACTTGTGCAGAGTAGCTGGAGCCCCAAAATTTTTAGAGAGGAGCAGCACAAGAGGAAGTGAATATAATCTCAAATGCCAAGAGCAGGTGCTCTGAGGGGAAGTCAGGGATAGGCCAGGAGCTGCTACAACAGCACTAGGCACTGGCCCCAGGATTGTCCCTGAAGGAACCCTGCTGGCAAAGCTGTATAATGTGCAGGAAAAGGCAGTGTGGTTTGATGGTTAGAGTGTACCTGGGGTTGAATCCTGATCCCATTGCTTCCTAGCTTTGTGATCTTAGGCAAATGACAGGCCTCTCTGGCTCCCAGTTTTCTCATCTATAAAGTGGAGATACTAGCACTAGTGTAAAATCAAATCATAGCCAGGTGCTGGTGGCTCTTGCCTGTAATCCTAGCTACTCAGGAGGCTGAGATTGCAGGTCAAAGCCAGCCTGGGCAGGAAAGTCCGTGAGACTTTTATCTCCAATAAACTACTCAGAAAATCCAAAAGTGGCACTGTGGATAAAGTAGTAGATGCTAGGCTTGAACAAAAGAAGCTCAGGAACAGAGCCCACACCCAGAATTCAAGCGCCCTGACTGGTAAAAAAAAAAAAAAAAAAATTAAATCAAGTCGAAGAAAGCAGGGCTGTAAGACTGCACATACTGCATCCAGGGTGTCCTTTGCCCCCGTCTGTGTGTGTCTGTGTGTCTGTGTGTGTGTGTGTCTGTGTCTGTGTGTCTGTGTGTGTGTGCATGTGCGCACACCAGTACTGGGCTTGAACTCAGGGCCTGGGCCTGGGCACTGCCCCTTAGCTTTTATTTTATCTTATTTTGCTCAGTACTAATGCTTTACCACTTGAGCCACAGCTCCACTTCTGGCTTTTTGGTGATTCATTGGATTGAGTCTCACGGACTTTCCTGCCCAGCTGACTTTGAACCTGAATCCTCAGATCTCAGCCTCCTGAATGGCTAAGAGTACAGACACGAGCCACTGGCGCCAGCACCTCTTCTCCCAACCCCAGTCCTTGAGGCTAAGGAGCCCATTCGGTGGTCCGCAATCTCCGCCCCGCAGAGGAGAGCCTTTCTTTCCCTGGGCCCATTGTACAGCTGCGGAGCAGGCTGAGCGCAGGGGGAGGAGGCTGTGCCGAGATGCGGGCCGCGGAGCTGAGCCGGGGTCCTTCTGCAGGTACCTGCGCGCCCTGTACCTGGGGCTGCAGAGCCGCTGGCGAGGGGAACGGCTGCGGCGCCACTTCTACTGGCGGATGCTGTTCGAGAGCGCCGACGTGAGCATGCTGCGCCTCCTGGAGACCTTCCTGCGCAGCGCGCCACAGCTGGTGCTGCAGCTCAGCCTGCTGGTGTACCACGGCCACAAGCCCGACCTGCTGCCCGGTGAGCCCCTAGGGACGCCCCCCACCCCCCTGCCCGGGCTCTCCATCCCTTCACCACCCCTTAGGGCCTTTGGGTACCCCTCTTCTGCTCTGCTCCCTTCTCTATTGCCAAAACAGACCAGACGTGGGGGGGGGGGGCGGTGTATGTGTGACTCCTGGGGTTTGAACCGTTCCTGAGGGCGCTGTCCCTGAGCTTTTTTTGCTCAAGGCTAGCACTCTACACCTTGAACCACAGCACCACTTCAGTTTTTTTCCGGGAAGTTTGTTGGAGTTAAGAGTCACGTGGCCTTTCCTGCCTGGGCTGGCTCTGGACCACGATCCTCAGATCTCAGCCTCCTGAGTAGCTAGGATTACAGGCGTGAGCCACCAGTGTTCAGCTCAGATCTCATTTCTGACCTTTACTTCACAGCACATCTTAGACCCCCTGGGGTGTTTCCTTACCACCTTCATTCCCAAACTGCCCCAATCTCTACCTCCATCTCCTGGGGAGCCCCTGCTCATACACCTGCCCAATTGCCATTGGTTTGGAGAAAATCTGGCCATCTACCCCCTCACTGGGGAGCCTGAGGACCCCTCCCCAACCCAGGCCTGGTCTTAGTTTCCTCTCTTGCCACAGGCCCTGTTCATATCCCAACCTGACCTTTCCTGACACTCTAGGATGCCTCCCTTCCCCCCCCCCCCCCCCCCCCCCCCCCCCGCACCAGTATCACAGAAAAGCCACATCCTTACATTTCTGGAGCACTTCATTCTCTCTCCACCAAGACCCCGTCCAGCCCATTTTCCATCAGTCCCCTTAGGAAGTCATTTCCAGGGTACAAGGTTTCACCTGAGACCTTCTCCTCACCCCTCAGCCTGCACAGCTCTAGGCATCCCTCCAAACCCAGCCACATCTCGGTGATCCATAGCTTCTAAAGTTCCCCTCCTGGCTCTACCATGCCCTAACCATGACCCCCTCTCTGCCTCTTCTTCCACTCCCACAGTCCCACACCCTAATTTCCCACCTCCCACAAGACCCACGAACCCGAACAGCCCCACATGAGATTCCTAGACTTGAACCTTGGTGAGGGATCAAGAACCTCCCAACTTTCACATCCCTTCAAGCTCCCACCCGACCCTGACCACCTCACCTCATCTCACCATCGCCCTTGACACCCCTCCGTGCAGGGTCCCCCTCCCTCCACTGATCCTCAGACCCTTCCCTCACCCCTCCTCAGAACCCAGCTCCTGACCCAGAACCCTCCCCCTCTCCCCAGACCCCAACCCGGACCCACCCCTAACCCATCCCACCCCATCCCCAACCCTGTCTCCACAGCCCTTTCCACCTCTGCCTCTCTGGTGTCCCTGGCCTGGACGCTGGCCTCCTACCAGAAGGTACTGCGGGACTCAAGGGACGACAAGCGACCCCTGTCCTACAAGGGCGCCGTGGCCCAGGTGTTGTGGCATCTGTTCACCATCGCAGCCCGAAGTCTGGCCTTTGCCCTCTTCGCCAGCGTCTACAAGCTGTACTTTGGCATTTTCATTGTGGCCCACTGGTGTATCATGACCTTCTGGGTCATTCAAGGGGAGACGGACTTCTGCATGTCCAAGTGGGAGGAGATTATCTACAACATGGTGGTGGGCGTCATTTACATCTTCTGTTGGTTCAACGTGAAGGAGGGCCGCAGCCGCCGCCGCATGGCCCTGTACTACTGTATCATCCTGCTGGAGAATGCCGCGCTCACTGGCTTCTGGTACTCCAGCCGCAACTTCACCGACTTCCACTCACTCATCCTGGTGTGCGTGGTGGCCGCCAGCTTCGCGCTGGGCATATTCTTCATGTGTGTCTATTACTGTCTCTTGCACCCCAATGGGCCCATGCTGGGGCCCCAGGCACCTGGCTGCATCTTCCCAGAATCCCCAGGGCCTTGTGGCCCACCAGCCGATGCTGTCACAAGTCCCCCGAGGTCCCTGCCAAGGACTACAGGCGCCGAGAGGGATGGGGCCTCAGCGGCGGGTGAGCGTGCAGGGACCCCCACGCCACCGGTCTTCCAGGTGCGACCTGGCTTGCCTCCCACGCCAGTGGCCCGCCCCTCGCGGACAGAGGGGCCTGTCATTCGGATTGACTTGCCTCGCAAGAAGTATCCGGCCTGGGATGCACATTTTATTGACCGCCGGCTCCGGAAGACCATCCTGGCTCTGGAGTACTCCTCACCGGCCACTCCTCGCTTGCAATACCGCAGCATGGGCACCTCCCAGGAGCTGCTGGAGTATGAGACCACAGTGTAGGCCCTGCTCTGCTCCCCACACAAGGGACAGGCTGGGCTGACCCCACAGTGACCAGTGTTAAATCTGGAATTTCAGGACCACAGGCTTACAGGGAGTGGGTCTGTGGGGCTAAGTCTCGCCACTGGGTTCTTTAGGGGAGGAGGCAGCCTGTGGAGGCTCCAGACCCAGACTCCATTTTCAGCCCTGTGGCCCATTCCCAAATGTCCTCCAGGGGCACAGGGAATCAACTGGTGCTATACTCCTCACAAGCTGCCCTACTTTCCTGGGGCCTCTACATCATGCCTAGCATAGGAGCTCACCCTGTCCCCTGCTTGGCATTGCCCACATGTCACCCTGGGGAGCCAAGCAGAGAAAGGGCACTGTCCAGGGCCTGTGGCTTAGGCCCCGTGTTGGGGGCAGGAAGCAGCCCTGTGGACTGGTATCTGTAGGACTCAAGCCTGGAGCTGGATAGCAATGGAACTGAGGAGGGTGTTGGGGTGGGGGGTGCTGGGGGGTGGGGGCTGACAATGCAGAGATAAGCAGAAGAAAACACTCGGAGGGGCTCAGGCTGGCAGAAGTGCAGAGGAGTGGAAGGTGCAAGGGAAGGAACCATAGTCCAGGGCAGAGAGGTAAGGAGAAAATTCTGGAGACAGACTGTATAGTGGGGTTCCGACACCTCAGGTGAAAATTTTCAAGGAGCCATCTTTGTTCTAAGTGAATATTTCTTCTAGATCAAGGTCTTGAACACAGCAGATTAGTCTAGGAAGAGACTCTGGGCTCCACTGTAGCTGAGATTCTAGCACATTGAGTGAGGGCCTGTTCTAGAGGCCACTTGGTTCCAGGTAAGGTTCTAGAACACCTAGTTGGAACAGCTAATCTGTATTGTGTTAGGAGGGGTGAGGACACAGGAGCCCGGCTGCTCTGATGTGGAGAAGTTGAACTTCCACCATGGGGCAAGTTTTGAACCCAGTTCTCATGGACTAGAGGAAGAATGAGTGCTCTAGTCTAGTCTAGTTTAGACTTATGGGAATTTTAGGCCTCTGGCTATGGCCCCAATCATCTTTCTAAAAGGAAATTATGCTCAGAGTTCTCAAGATGCTTTAGCTGTCAACTGGTTCTCAGCTGGGTGGATAAAGGCTCTGGAGATGAGACAAGCATCCAGGCTTTCTGCCATCCGCAGAGGTGCAGCCTCCCCGGGAGGCATCTGGGAAACAGACTTGTTTGGCCTCAGATCTGGCGATACCTCCAGGACCTGAGGTCCATTCCCAGGGCCTGAATATCCTGCAGATGTGCAGGGGACCCCTCCTCTAGGGCCACACCCCCACCTGGGGCAGCCATACCTGGAGGAGGTGTGTGGTTTGGGGAGTGGGGCAGTCAGCAACTCTGTGGGGGTGAAGGAGCCTCTAGGCAGAGCTTGGAACTCCCTCCCCCTCCTCCATGCCAACTGCAGGGTCTTCACTGGGAGGGGATATCCATGGATTTTAGGGCCAGACACAGACCTGGGCTGGGGTGAGTTAGGCCATGAGAATCCTAGACTATGCAAATTAGGAGCAGTGCTCAATGCTTTCTGGCTCAGCCTCCCTAGGGGTTCCAAATGTGAAACTGAGGCTGAGCAACAGCTCTCCTCCCGCCATCTCCTCACTGTTCCATCAAATGGTGATGGGCACTGATGGACTGGTAAGGGTGCAGAGTGAACCCACAGGTCTGGAGGGCAGGAATGCGCATACACACACAAGCACACATCCTAACTAAGACAGAAGGCCACTGCCCAGACACGCACGGGTTAAGATGGTACATGACCCCACGTTGCCATCTCAGGAGAAAGCCCTGTCCTTCCTTCCATTTCTCTCATCTTTTAAAAGCCTCAAGATCCTGGCCTTAAGAGTGACAGCTAGTTCCATTCTGACCCAGACCCATGTGGATGGGTCACACATTCTTCTCTGCACAGATCTGTCTTCAGAAAGAGCTAATTCCACGGCCCATTACACACGCCACAGCCTCTGTCAGGCAGTGTTGAAGATGAGGACTCTGACCAAACTCCTGTTTGTTTCTCTAGGCTGACTGTGCCAGGAATGTTCACTCTGTGTTGCTATCTTCCTCCCTCCTTGGCTCACGCCTCATCTTTCACTCCCAAGGGAGGTGTGTAATCCACCTGTCTGCCCTCCAGGTGAGGAAACAGGCCCAGCAAGGGGATGCAAGGGTCACCCTTGGCAAGTTATTGTACTCCCCCAGAGTATAGATCACTTAGCTAGTGGCCCCCAATCCTCTCAGTGTCCTAGATGGAAAAGTGAAAAGACCCTGAGTAGGAGCTGGGAGCCTTTAGCTCCAGGAGACACCAGGGAGCCAGGGACGAGGGGCAGAGGCAGGCGGCACTTGAGGCTCACATTGTTTGGACTTTACCCTCTCATCATCTCAAAAGGCCTGAGGAGAGGGTTCTGGGTACCTTCTGCTTCTTTCCGCCAGGAGAGCTCAGCCCCTAAAGGACCCCCTTCCCTGCTGTGCAGGATCCTCATCCTGCATGACCTAAGGTCCCTCTCCTCCCTGGCTTATCCCCTTGCTTCACTGGGAGCAGGGTCTGAATAGAGGAGTCAGGCCCTTGGAGCTATTGTTTCCTGCTCTTTTCTATGACTCAATCTACCTCAGCCAGCCTCTCTTCCCTGCCAGAACCAGACCCCCATGGGGCCTTCCTTCCCCTCCCCCCCCCCCCCCCCCCCCCCGTCAGTTGTGGGGCTTGAACCTGAGCTCTTTTGTTCAACGCTAGCAGTCTACCACTTTGAGCCACAGCACCACTTCCAGTTTTCTGGTGGTTAATTGGAGATTAAAAAAAAAAGGCTCTCTCAGACTTTCCTGACGGGGCTAGCCTTGAACCACAATCCTCAGATCTCAGCCTCCTGAGTAGCTAGGATTACAGATGTGAGCCATGGGCACCCAGCCTGTTCTCTTTTCTCTTTTCCCCACCCAGCCTGGATGCTCAGGCTTCCCCAGGACCCCCACAGGGGCCATGCAGCTGGACAGTAATTAGAACCACAGCCAAAAGCACCCTTGGGGGGGGTGGTCCCTGAAACCTGCTGTCCTCCCCATTCATTGTGTAGAAGAAACAGCCAGAGAGGACCAGGTACTTGCCCAAGATCACACAGGAAGGCAATGGTAGATGAACGGTAGTCAGGTCAGTCTTAACGTCACAGGGAGCAGAAGAGAACAGGACACTCTGGGTCCCTGTCCTGCCTTCATACCTGCTTCTCCTGCCCCTCCCCACACACAAGACTTGTTCCTATTCCCAGGGACAATGTTTGTCTTCCTGTGTCCTTGAACTCCCACCTTTGCACCAGTTTCGCAGGCTATGACCGGGCCTCAAGCCACTGCGGGCACCCATGGTTCACGGCCCACCTCCACACTGCTGTACCAGGTGCCTTGTAATGGTCACCCCGGCTGCCAGCACAAGCCTCTACCTTCCCCAGCAGGGGGCTCCCCAACAAGGGAGCTTCCTTGCTCCTCATCTGCCTCATGCTTGAGTCTTCCCTAAATTTGTCTTGCCCTCCCCCAGCTCCCTGCTTCCCCCTGTGTCTCCCTGAGGCTGCCCGCCCACGAGGGGCAAGAGCAGAGGCTGGGAATTTGCCTGCTGCAGACTCAAGTTCCTTAGATCCTTCCCTTGGGACCTTGCCTGGGCTAGAGGCCACGAAAGCCTCAGACAGTGGGGTGCACAGGTTGCCAACTCAAATGCCTCTAGTAATGGGAGTGGGAGACGCAGAGGTGCTGGCCAATAGGGAGTTCTGGGGACTCTGGCCGAAGCACAGGGCGCTCTGTGGATAGGCACTACGTTAACACTAAAACAAAAGAATTGGCCAAACAAAACACTCATATTTAGCTTCCAGACCACTGGGTCTGAGATCTGTGGTTCAAACTATTGAGATGGCTCTTTCGAAAAGTCCTGCAGAGACTGGAGACACTTGTGGGAAAGTCAGGAGCAGAGGTTTTGGCCTCCTTTGAGACTGCTAAGTCTCCCTCAAGGCCCCGTCTTCTGACCAGCCAAAAGCTGGAAAGAAGAGGAGGTCTGGGTGTCCCCAAGCCCCTGGCTGGGGAAGCCAGCATCTGAGAAGGGCCACTGCCACCTCCAGTGCCTGGGGATAGGACTCTTCTCCAGGCTGGGGCTCCTGGAGAGGAGAAACTTGCACCAGGACAGGAAAAGTCCAGGCACAGGATGAACTGAAGGACAAGACCCCTCCATCCTGTTCTTGGTGTCAAGACACATGGGCAGCTGTGGGACAGGGGCCTGGGTCCTGCGTCTCAATCAGGCCTCTGGGATTCCCGGGTTGGCAGCGTGGGGAGGGGGTATAGTGTGACATTCCGGTTGGGGAGGGGACATTCTTTGGTACTTGGTTGCTGTAGGTAGAGGGGAGGAAGAACCCTAGAACAGGACACTGCGGGAGGGTGAGAAAATCCCTGCCTGGCCCCATCCCTGGAGGCAGGACTCCCGGGGCACAAAGAGGTGCCTGTGCTTGGCACCTTCCACTCGAACCTCCTGACAGGGGGACCACTCTTCCCTCAGTACGCTGGCCTTCACTCTATGCACAAGATTGAAAGGACCCCCAGGCCAGGCTGGAAAATGGGGGCCCCAGAGCACTTGCAATAAACTCCCAGTGGAGGGGACCCTGGAACAAAATGGTGGAAGATGGCCTGAGGTGAGGAAAGGCTGGCCTCCATCTTCCTTCACCCAAGACCATCATAAACAGCCAGAAAGAGCCCGCACCATTCCCTGAGCCTTTCCTTACTGTCCCCACTCCTGAGGATCCTGCAGTTTGGGAGAGCTGTTTTTCCCCCAAGCCAAGTCCCCTTTCTAGACAAAGGATTGATTCATTTTGCCACATTCAATGAGCTCAAGCTGAGCTTCTGGGAACAGATAAAGCTGCCAAGGTTTTTGGTGAGAGAATTTCTATATTCTATTGGATTGCTTAAGGCAAAACTCTCCCCCCCCCCAAAAAAAAAATAAATAAAAGCACTCAGAGATGCCAATTCCTGCCACC